TGGGATGACGCACCTAAACAGGCTAACTCTAAGCGAAAACTGGACCGAAAATCGATTAGTGACGGTGTTGTCAGTCAGCCGATCGGGCAGCGCTGTAATCTGGTAGGGATTAGCGTTTTTATTCGAATTCGCTGCGCAATTTCGTTGACCGGATTGTTAGACATCTGTTCTGGCAGGTTCTGTGTCAACAATGATTTCACTGGAACGTATTTTTGATTAAGGGATTCCCGGCCTTGGGTTCCCAAGTCTTTGAGGAATCAAGGGAAGTGGGAATAGTAATCCATTTAGAAAAAAAATGCCGGGAACCCCAACGCGACCTATTTTGAGACGTGAAAATTGGTGTCGATGAGTCATAACTAGCATATTTTCGGCAGAAAGACGCGCTATCATCCCACATGGCGTTTAATGGGCTAGAAAATCATTGATTTATTTTTAACGGCAGTGGTTGCTGCAAGACTTCGTTTTTTGACTTTTTCATATGTTATATGTGGTAGTCAAAATGCTCTGCACTCAAAACGTGCGACCCGCGGACATAACGTGGAAAATTTGCCATTAGGGAAAAATGCATGATTCCGGAGGGTCGGTGGCAAGGGATAACAGTCGTATCGCTTCCGAAGCTCCCATTCTCCTCTTCTCTCGAGCAAAATATGAATGCGGTTTAAGGAAAGCTCGGAGACGCCGTTGAGGCTAGGATTATAAGACATGACATGGTTTTCATTCCATATCCTAGAACAATTTATTTTCCTAGAAATAAAGAGGGGCGTGGCTGCGTACTTGCGTGGCGGCTATCCTTATAGTGGGCCTTAGCGTTTTCGGGCAAATGTAATCACGCCTTCGTTTGGTAGACGACAGATTGACACTTGTCTCAGTTGGAAATATTTCACGAAAAACGTATCCTGTCGCCGTTTTCAAATGAAGAACAACGCCAGCACGGCCACTTTCCATATTCCCGGGATCTATGTGCTAGCATATTTCGGCACTTTTTCGGCATGCACCATCCGCCCTAAGCTATTTTAATTAGAATTTAGCATTTTATTGTCATTGAACTATGAAAATCCGGGTGTTATTTCTTTTGATTCAGATACCGAATTTAGGCGCTGTTACGCAGTTAAAGTGTTCCTGTTGTGTTTCGCTGGAGACTGACAAGATAGTCGAAATTGCCGCGTCCCCGCGATCGCAGGGCAATGCGCGACAAGTTCCCAGGTGCATCAGTTTTTGAAATGGAGCAGCGAATCTCTCATAAGTTCAAAGGAAGGGAAGGTTCCATGACGGCCGATGTCTAATTTTCCCGTCATTTACACTCTCCAAATTCAAACTCAACAAACAGGACAATCGTCCACGCGATTGCACGTCATGGCCACTCCATCAGCGCGCATATTACGATGTCTTGTCCGTGTGAGCGTGGCGCTACGATGATTCTATGCCGATACTTGATTGTCGAACGGAGCATTGAAGCGCTTATTGTGAGCGTATGAAGCTGACGTCCCAGAATGAATAAACAATCCGTCATCGTTGGCTATAATCAGCCCAGAGGTAAAAAATCATGGAAGAAGTGATGATGAGTGGCAACATTCCTATCCCAGCGCCAGGACGAACTGGTTTGTTATTTTTCTAGTTTGTTCTTTGAAAACTACTGGACTTTGAACTATTGGACAACTGACCTTTGAGGGGGAAGCGTGTTTTTAGCGGCGCATTGCTGAGCGGTTCCGCCGAAAATGATTTCAACATCGATCAAAATTAATTTTCTCGGCGAAGGATGAGAGATGGATGATTGTCGAGCCGTTTAGGCCCGCGAGAAGACACTAGTCGAGAAATTTCTGTTGAGACTTCCCCTAAAGGAAACAAATCCCCTAAGATAACTCAAGCCCTCCTGCCAGCTTGCAGTAAAGCTTATATTATTATAAAATTTATTTGATTAAACTCAAATTACATAAAGGGTGCTAGGCGCATAGGAGCGCGGCGTTTTGCACCTGCTGCTGAGTTCTTTTATGTACGATCCTGTTGCATGTTCCACGCACTATTACTGAGAGAACTGCTAAACTCTTGTCAGGTGCTGAACGAAGCTCCTGCCTATTACATAGTTTTTACAAGGCATTTTAGAGATGCTCCACCGGGAAGCTTCGCAACTGTTTATGAGGGGAGCAAAATGCGCAACCCCTCCCCAACCAAAGCGGAACTGTACCGTAACTATTAAACATTACTGTAAATTTGGGGGTGGGGAGAGGGGATTGAAAGGATAGTTTTAATTGTAGTGCTGAGCGCTGATGTAACATATGTACGTGGTGCAGTTCCTTACCTGTTAAAAGGTAGGTGACGTCACGTAGCAGGTTGACGACGTGTTTTGTGACGCCATGAAGAATGATATAGACAGGTTTCCTCGTCACTAACGTCTTACGTTGTGTCAATGGCATGTCATCTGTTAACGCCTAGCGGACCTCTGATACATCTGCCCCGAATATTAAGGTCCCCAACACCAGGCATTTGTTTCTGAAACAGAGTTGGGCCTTTCTTATAGTGATAAAGAGAAAAAACTACCTTTCAATCAATTAGAGCGACGATTTTCTCATTAACCGGCACAGTAGCCCACATTTAGTAGTGTTTGTATTCACGTGATTAACTGGTAATCCTCTAAATCCATGTCCCGATTCTCAAACACGGCAATGGTCGTTCCCGTTCACTACGAAATCCATCCGTCCTTTGAAGTACTGTCTGATGAAATTGTTTAATGACCATTTTCATACCGCTTTCCGCGTTATGGGGGAATGGGCATTTGTTGTTTGGCTCACATTACCAATGATGTGTCGAACAAGCCAGGCAAGCCGTTTTCCGAGTAGTGCAACTCGGAAATTCTGAACTAGTGCGCCCCCACTCCTAACAATAGGTAGTCATTAGGAGACGACCTGGCTGAGAAGCTTGAGCCTCATCCAACACTCACGTCTTTATGTAGGCTATCAATCGAAAGGATAAAAAACGGTAGGCTCTTCGCCGCTTATCAATCCCTTTGTGAATGCGGCACCATCCCACTTACATTCGAGGTCGTAGTGGTTAGGCGCGTCAGACACTTCGCAACGGCAGCCACTTCGGTCGTGCGTTCGACGCGATCGATGCGCATGCTTAGACTGCATCGATCGCGTCGAATGCGCGATTAAAGCGCTGCCGTCACGAAGTCTGAACGCTGCCTTATTAAATGCGATGTGGCCTTCACAATGACTTGTGGGGGGCCAGACGATTTACAGGTCAGTGCTCATGTTCTTCCAGACTGATCTGCATACGGAATAAACCGTCCCCGAGAGTTAGAAGGCTCTTGGTTTGCCCCGGCGGCGCAGTCGACCGGGATCTGAACGCAGGACCACATCGCGCGTGGTTACACGCCCACTTTGCCGCGTACACCACTCCGCTTCAGGCGATCAATTATGAGAACTTTATTATTTGCTGATGAGGACGAGTTGTCGAGTATATTGCGATACTGTTAGAATCCGTAAACAGTTTGTTGGGGTAATATATACCCGTTAGAACCCGCTGATTAGCACTGGTTCGCACTTCAGCGCGTAACCCTTCAAGCGACGGTGGCGTGTCACTGACGTCACAGAACACGTCAGTGACGTGTCCTGAGACGTCATTATAATAAAGCACTAAGATTTTAATTTTTTCATCTAGAACGTCATTTCATTATGCGTTTTATACGAAGGATTCTTCAACCAATCAGGCTTCAGGAATCGAGTAGGAATTTTCATTTCTCTACTCGATTTGGAAATATACCCTAGAAACTCTGCTATGGGCTCAGTTATGACGGTTAGAGTACATATTGCACTTTTGCTACTTCCCACCACGTGTCGAGCTACCCAGAGAACTATTTCATAAGCTTGCAAGAGTTTACAGGTTCAACCATGGTGGCTCGCGAGATTGCTCCAGATCCACAGGTTCACAGGTTTCATCAGGGTGAGACGTGTAAACCGGAACTAGTGAAGCATCGAAGTGCAGAATCGTTCCACCCCTCCCCCTCCCCCGTCCCAGAACCACTCGAAATATCTTCCGATAGCGAGGTCGAAATTGATCGAGCAGTGATTGTGCCACCTTGGCGCTGTTTGTTTATTGACTTAAGGCCTTCCTGATCATGTGGTCGTGAAGTGGACTTTTCCGATGATTCATGATTTTCGTCATGAAAGATTTATTGGATGCTGCCGAAAGAGCTATTTCGCCATTCCATTAAGGGCAACCCTTAGAATAACATTAAAAGCTTCTTGTGAGACTGCACCTTCATTACGCACAAATGTTTTCCTTTCTTTATCTTCGGGGGGTGGGAGAGGCGTCGGCTAACTGAGTTATCAGAATGAAGAATTTTCATTGAATTTTTTCATATGTGGACGGAGTCGTCTGAAGCGGAGCCTAGTGTGTCAGTGTATTCATTTTCCATCCATGTCTGATTAAAGAAATGATGAAAATTCGCTCCAAATAGGAATTGTAGAATGAAATATGCAGGAGTTATGTTCGCGGTGAAAAGGGAGCGTGGTGTTCTGGGGTGGAGCTTAGCGCATGAATGCAAAAATCTCATCGCGAAAGAGTGTCAAAAAAATGTGGTTCCAATCCTCTCAGTGTGTGCATTTGTGGCTTTACTGGCTGCCAAACTGTCCAGAAATTGCTGTCGTGTTCCTGCTTCTTTTTTTTGCAACAGGACAAAAAGTCAATAGTCCGGAAATGGCTCATTCGAAAGGGCATTCTCGTTATCTCGTCGTCATTGTCCGTTTTTGTTCAGATTGCGTGAGCCTCTTGCGATGAGTTTTTCTTGAAACTAAATCTTTGCAGAACCTTTTTTGTATAAATTTGGTTATAACAGCTGCTGTATAACGCAGCAGTTTACGCTCTGAATGTTATCACACGAATGCTTAGTTGCGTTGGAGGCCGAAGAGTTGACCTGAATATTCTATCGGCTCGGCGATACTTTTACTTTTTTACTTCTCTACTTTTTTACGTGATACTTTGTGGGGACCTATAAATTTTTCATGCGAAGTGTTTCCCTACACAGTAGGAGTGGTGTAATGGTAAGTGGCTCTCTGTGCCAGGGGTCAAATTCGCGACCGAATCTCAGCCGGACGGAGCGTTTTTTCGGCACTGATTGGCTTGGGGAGACATTTTGCAGTTCCGCTAGTTCCTTTTGTGAATTCATCTTACAATAGCAGGTCCCAATTTGGGGAGACCTGCAAACTCCTTTGAGCCCGTGAAATGGTACCAGCGAGTTACTTCGGTTACAACAGTTTACAGGTCTTCACTAGACAGCCTGTACGGGGTTGGCTGACTCCGAACTGCGCCCTGAAATCAATATATCGTTCATCCGCCCCATCATTCTGCCGTGATAGAGACTGTAGAAGGCCCAAACCAGGATTTTTCCAGCAAAGCGCTTTATTCTTTATTGTTATTTTCTCATATTACTTTCAGGAATGATGGGAGGTGGTGGTGGAGTTGTCCCACCAGTTCTGCTTGATGAAGCTCGTGTGCCACGATTTTATCGCGATGCTATAGCCGCCTGTGGCGCCACACAACAACATATGCTTCCGCATACTGCGTTAGGTACGGTTTTTTCCAAAACTACTTCACATTTTTTGAGAATATTATTATTTTTTGTTCCCTATTACTTCGTTCAGTGTACAATTTGATGGTCACGTCGGGTTTACCGAGACCGGTTCTTTCGTACATATGGTCAGCGGTGAATCGAACACTCCCCGGCCAATTGACCCGTCCGGAATTCTTCTCCTGTTTGGCACTTATTGCCTTGGCCCAGGTACGCTTTAACATCATGACATTCGAATATGGAAATATGAAAAGGTGCAGTTCGGTTCGGGGGGGGGATATTTTGCACTCTCTACTTGCCATCCTCGTGTTCGTTGCTTTACAAGTGTTGACAGGTTTTCTTTACAAGGGTTGACAGGTATTGTTTACAAGAGTTGACTAGCAGTCCCCATTAACCGGTATCATTTCATGGCTTCACAAGATTTCGTAGATCTCTACTTGGTAGCTCGTCACGTCGAGCCACTAATAGAGATGGGATTTAGCCAAAGAGCAAATCCCCCCCCCTTCCCCAAGCCGAACTCCGCCTAAAATAGTCCAAGATATCCTGGTGAGGTTAAGTCTCACTGTTTTAGAAAGGCGAGTCCTTAGCAGCTTTATCGACAATGTCTTCACTTCCCATACCTTTTCTCCAGTCGGTACAGGTACCACTAGCTCAGCCTCTTGCAGCCCCTATGGTTAATGTCGCAAAGCCTGCGTAAGTACTAAGTCTTTTACGTCGTTTGGACCATTCAAAGGCGAACAGTACAATTGCTGGAGACGGGTGGTTGTCGCCAAACGTCATTAGTGGAAGAGCTCAATGGGGAGTGGCCAAATGCCCTCTAGCAGCACTTCCCCCAATGGCACTGGCAGCAGTGGCCCGCCTCCAACGATCTGAAGGAATTCCAAGAGATTCCCAGACCAACAGGTGCCTTTTTAGAGCTGCGCAACCTAAGGAACAGCGACAAAGTTCGTCGTTTATTCCCACTTCCTTGCTGATGGGTAGACGAAACAATGTCAAAAAGAAAGAAGTTGATTTGATAGGAGAAGCACTACCACCTCCTGACAAGTCACCGAGCAAAGAGGAAGGAGGGTTGCCATCTCCGATCCTTCCACCTCCTATTCCAGGTTGGTCATCTTTCGCACTTCGTTCACTTCTTGGACCTAGTGCGAAATTGGTCTTTTTAGGCCCATCGAAGTCAGGCCATCACGGCCAAACTGCTGTTGCAAACTTGGGCACAAACGGTTTTATTGCAAAGGCAAACTCAACCATGAATGATTTATGCAGTATTGATTGGTCTTCGTTGGCTCAGAGACAAGCTGCCACCGCTTCGCGTGACTTGGGCTCTCCCACAACCGGCTCATCGAAGAGTGACGAAGATGGTGAAAGTTTTGTTTTGTTGTTGTGTCTGTTTGCCAGTTTAACTGGTTTCATATTAGGCTATATTTTTGGTTTACCTTCAGTATCAACTGCAAGTAATTTCTCAATGGCCTGCTCTACAGCATCGGAAATCAACGGATCAATGGCCTGCTCTACAGCATCGGAAATCAACGGCTCTGCTAAAGTATCCCACGCTATGAGCGCTGAATTACTGGAGTGCTGGGAGAAAGTCATAGCGGCTGCAACGGAAATCTTCAAGGTGGTTCATTTATTTCGATGTTTTTTGTCACATTTTTAAAGTCAATATATCTTTAGACTGCTGACAGACTACTTTGCTCGGCAAATGATGACTCGTCAATAAGGGGGATTTTCCCAAACTGAAAGAAGGAGATGGATTTTCTGAGGTCTTTGTCGTTTCCTGGGTATTAATCATCGATTCGCCGGAGTTGGTGCCAACAGTCTGGCTCGTGTACAGAAATGTTTCAGCCCTCTTTTGCTGCTTACCAGGTTCCCAGGAGACCGGTGAGAACATATTTGTTAATTTGCCGCATCCGGTCAGTGGGCGCTGTTTTCGCTAAGCATTGTCATGTTGGTTTGAAGCGTCGATGTGATGTATCTCTACGGAACTCATGGGAGCTTCCCGAGAGCAATTTGATTCATATCTTTGTCTGGCTCTTGTTCCATAGAGCTAGAAACATCGTGAGTTGCGTTCCGCGAACGCCCGACCCAACGCGACGCTTCAGCGCGCGAATTACGATTGCCCTTTGCCACATACCCACGTTCAGCTTCATTATATAGCGTTCATAACCCTTCTAAGACTGCGGTCGTGCATGGAGAAATGGAAGAAACTTTGGAAAAGAATTAGACGTATCTTTGAAGAAGCGGGAGTCGACAGAATTGGGAAGCGAATCGAGATGATGCCAGCAGAGGGGAGGGGGGGAAAAAATCACTTTTCTTCGCTGGGTAGCTATCGAGGCGCTGTAAGTTAGCACTTTCATTGAATTCTGACCCGGAGTACATTTGTTACTACCCATACTTCAATCAGCTTATCAATACTGATTCTATGGATACATTTTCGCCCGCCATCAGCCTTTGGACCTCGAAGACGTGGTCTGGATCCTGGACTAATGTGACCTCGTTCAAAGTGACTTTATTTGGCCCCCCTCTGTAGATAGGAATTTGGAAAGTACGACGAGGTGCAGGAGAAGTGGCAATTCAGAGAACAGAAAGTTAGTGAATTGGAGAATAAGCGAAAAGGGTAGGGAAAATCGATATCGTGAACGCGTTCTTGTAGAGACCTTGTAGGACAGCGCTTTCGGAGAATCGTGGTCATGTCCTTGTCTAGCCAAAGGAAGAATGTCAGTTTGTCCAGCCCGAGGAAGGATGTCATTTGTCTCTAATTAGAATGTCCCACGAAAAAACGTGCATCTACGACCCCAAGTTCAATAGGAACAGGGTTTTCCCGAACGCCTCAGTCGCTTATTTGGATTTTTTTGAGCTAAATACTAGTACACTCATGTACTGAAGTACGCATAAATTTCGCTTGCGGTTTCGGTTGGCGGAATGATCGCCCGATAGCATTATTGTTTTAGATGCCTAAATCATCTGTATTTTGTGGTGTGTCGGGTGGAACGCTCGGCAAAGTCTGAATTACCAAAAGGTTGCCGAGAAGAAATTGATTACTGTACAAGGATTTGGAAACGGTTGGCTAATTTCCTGGAAGATCCAGAAGAAGAGGACAGAACTGATACCGCGGAGAAGTAAGTGACTAGTAAAAACTAATTTGGGCAGATTTAGTTAGCCTTCGCTGGCTGTTATTTTTTCCATTGAATTAAAGGTTATAGGATCAGAAGATGGCCCCGTCCCTTCGTTAGAAGTCAGGATATCGTTGATGACTTAGAAACCATCACTTTACCTAATCGTTGGATGTGAGCCAATGTGCCGCGCTGCAACCGCACGCGTCACATTGAGGTAACATGCCATGTAGCATTATTTCGAAATACGTCATTTTCTCGTGCGTTCCACTGTGCTTCCAATCCACCGCGGAATTTGTTCCCAATGCGTAGTATTTGATGAGGGAGGGGGGAATAAAGCACCGGCGCTGTTCTGAATTGTGCGCTTTCCGACATGGAGGGGCATTTAATGTCATCTTAAAGTGACCTGTACGAGCTAAGCTGAGGACAATTCTGTGCGCTCACCAAGTCGAACTGCGCCCTCATACTAAGGCGATGCTATCATTATTTCAGGTTTTTTTGACCTCTGAAATGTTTACTGCCTTGGCCTTTCTGACCCGAGCGCAACTTCTGTGTAGCAACCCCATCCTTTTTTTTGCTAGCTGTGCGGCCAAGCAGTAAATGCTCCGCCTTTCGAGGTGACTTTTTGATCGTGGGGAGGGGGGGGGGAGAAGATATTACTCCTCGAAAATTTTCAAAATTTCCGCTTGTTCTCCCTTACACAGCTTATGATGCATTTTTTAGGCCTTGTGCTATTTGTTGCCAGCCGGTGTCTCGTGCGGTTTACTTTGGAGGTCAAACATATCACTCCGAATGCGCCAATCTGTGGGTGAATGACGTGAACTCCTTACTTCCAAATATGCATTTGGTATCATGAGTTGCAGTGCTGGTTTTCTATGGGGAACTTTATTTGAAATCACTTTGAATTGAGCTGTTTCGCATATGTTCCCTGCATTCCACTCAAACCGAATTTTGCTGTGTTCAGGATGCTCCGAATTTTATAGGGCAGCTCTTGAAATAACTTCATATCTTGGAAATGGAGTGGGCGTGGCAACGTACTTTGTTTGAACCTGGGGACCTGAGCGCTTTTGGTGGGATCTTGCTATTTCGGAACAGTGGTAATGTCTTTGTCCAGCACAAGACAGTGTGACAGCTGTCTCGAATCGAAATACCCACGAAAAGCGCAGCCTACGCCG